TGTAACCTAAGAGACGGCTAATGTCGGAACCCCCTGCATATTTGGGGATTTGCTTTTGTGTCCTCTGCTTGGGGACACAAAAGCGACAAAAATAAACCTGCAATAGTTTGGAACTTTATATTTCTCTCTATCTCTAACTGCCTTTTATTTCCTAGTGACTTGGTTGACAATACCTTACTTTTGGCTTTGGTTTTGAATCTTCGCCCAGGTGAGGTAGGCAGTGGGTTCTGTCCAGAGGCCAGGACATACCAAAATCCTTAAAAATGGGAGTTGTTATTCCCTGCATAACGTTCAGTATATCACGGAATGGCAACAACTGGTTCATCAGTTGTAAGTATAATGTGACCCGGCGGAACGCTGTGCTGGGTGCCATGGCATAGTCTTTCAGTCAGATAGCACTATGAAGTCGGCTCAGATCCACGCTACCACAAGGAGGCAATTACACCAACATACCCTGTCTCAAACACACATTTATGATACACATGGAGGCTCGTCCTAAAATGACCTCAGTTGTTAATAGGACGTTAAACCCTATAAAACAAACCATTGCTGCCCTAATGTTTTTGATATGTTGTGCCCCTGAATGAGAAATATGTGGTGTTAAGTGTAAACTAAAGAAACACTCGATGTTGTTTTCAATAGAAAGGCGCGTTCTCTTTCTCCGAGTCTTGTTAACCTATCCCTTACGATAGTTCCACTGTTGTATTGGTAGTGACGGACACTGCATCATTCGAGTTGAAGATGACGTCCTCGTCAACAGTGCTATCAGACAGATCCGAAGCCAATATTTTAGTTTGATACATTACGTTCTGTTTTCCCACCAGTGAGGTCCACAAGCCATCTTGATATGGTAACAGCTAGGTCTTTTTATTTTGTTACAATAGTGCCCTCGATATTATATTGTGACCAATTTACGTTTAAATGTTTTGTTGTTACTAAGCATGGTGGTTATCTTTCCTTCGTATTCTACTTTATCCATAACGACGGTTTCTCTGCCCTTGTCAACTGGTGAAATAATTATTAATTATGGAGTTTGTCCTACCTTAATGTCTCAGGACCCTTTCTTACTCCCTTGTTATGATTGTCCTGTTGGTAGTTTAGCTGTTTTAGGACTCCAATCACCTGCGATCTTGTTTGTTATGCTTGTCCTTTTGATAGTTTAGTTGTTTTAGGCCTCCAATCACCTGCGATCTTGTTTTTTATGATTGTCCTTTTGGTCTGCCTCTACCTGTGGCAGTTTAGCTGTTTTAGGACTCCAATCTCCTGCAATCTTGTTTGTTATGATTGTCCGTTTGGTAGTTTAGCTGTTTTAGGACTCCAATCCCCTGCAATCTTGTTTGTTATGATTGTCCGTTTGGTAGTTTAGCTGTTTTAGGACTCCAATCGCCTGCGATCTTGTTTGTTCTGCCTCTACCTGTGGTAGTTTATCTGTTTTAGGACTCCAATCACCTGCGATCTTATTTGTTTTGCCTCTACCTGTGGTAGTTTAGCTGTTTTAGGACTCCAATCACCTGCAATCTTGTTTGTTATGATTGTCCTTTTGGTAGTTTAGCTGTTTTAGGACTCCAATCACCTGCGATCTTGTTTGTTATGATTGTCCTTTTGATAGTTTAGTTGTTTTAGGACTCCAATCACCTGCGATCTTGTTTGTTATGATTGTCCTTTTGGTCTGCCTCTACCTGTGGCAGTTTAGCTGTTTTAGGACTCCAATCACCTGCGATCTTGTTTGTTCTGCCTCTACCTGTGGTAGTTTAGCTGTTTTAGGACTCCAATCACCTGCGATCTTATTTGTTTTGCCTCTACCTGTGGTAGTTTAGCTGTTTTAGGACTCCAATCACCTCCGATCTTATTTGTTTTGCCTCTACCTGTGGGAGTTTAGCTGTTTTAGGACTCCAATCACCTCCGATCTTATTTGTTTTGCCTCTACCTGTGGGAGTTTAGCTGTTTTAGGACTCCAATCACCTGCGATCTTGTTTGTTCTGCCTCTACCTGTGGTAGTTTAGTTGTTTTAGGACTCCAATCACCTGTGATCTTGTTTGTTTTGCCTCTACCTGTGGAAGCTTTGGAAGTACTACCTATGTGGCTGCTGCACATTCTTCCATCGACAAGTGTTTATGTGTGATGACATAATTTAGACCCATATCGAGTACTTTGCTCTGGTCGTCCGTCAATTTGTTCTTAATTATATGTTTCGCCCATTTATTTAAATGAGTGCCGGACACATCTAATTATCGTTGGGGTTTTTTCTTCGACGTGCTATCATTTTGTCCGTTGTCGTTCTTTACATTTCACGTATTCGGTGTTGTGTGCAGATGTGTAGTAGGCCATGGCCTGGTTAGGTGTGTCTTTGTCCAAAATGCTCGATAATTTGTCTAAAAGTTGTTACGTTTGATCTTCAAACAATCCATGGTGTTGTTGACGGTTCTTCTCTTGGTGACTTTTTCCCGGTCTGTCTATGACGTCACGTGCCCTAAGTGTGTTCATAGGACCGTGCAGCTCAGTCAGACTGCAACTAGTTTTTCACTTTTACATCTAAGGATGAATTTCAAATGATTCTAATGACAGGCGAGTTTCTTGTTAATGACATTTTCTGTCTGTCTAAATGTTTGGACATAACACAAGATGCCAGGAATAAGAGCCTGTCTTTATCAGCTTTAAAAAAATGTATTAAAGAAACATATCACACAATTAAAAAAGTATAGCTACTGGTAAAGGAGGAAATTATCTTACCATGAATGGAAAAAATGGGAAAGATTACTGGTCTCTACATAAAATACAGAAATACTTAGATGTTTCATTCTCTGTTCAAAATTATAAGAGATATGCGATTTCCATGTCCATCCTCTGCATAGACATGTTTGCCTGGTGATCACTTCTTATATTGTAATTGATATCTTGACTTAAGATGTGTTTTTCTGTAAGAGTTATTGCCCTTTGTTATCTCATTGCTTCAGTCTTGCTTGATTTTGCTCTCAACAAAACTTGGTATGTCCTGCTATTATTTCTTGTAGCCTCTTAAGTAGCACTGTTCCTTATTGAAAATTTTCTCGTGTTATTTTTCTACATTTTACTTTTTATACAAGAATCTATGTCTGGAACGTGATGTACTTTGCCTTAACATGGTTCAGAATCATATGCTATGATTCAGTCTCAAGTTGGGTGAATCTTGGTATGATTTACTATCAATGCTATATTTGTATATCCTCTATAGTGATATCTATATTCTACAAATATTTACAATATATATGTGTATGGAAATATAGTTGATACAAAAACTGGTCAAAGTCCCCGGTAATATTAATATTAATATAATATTATAATAAAAATAACAATAATGAGAGACTTTACTCATGAACGAGTTATATCTTTTAATAAATACAGCAAAGTCCTTTGTCATGTCAGCATGTACCCCTTCTCCCTCTTATTCAAGTTCTCTTTCTCTATATTGATCCCATTCTTCCTTTAAATTCTTCTATTTCTCATTCTTTTCTTTCTTAAAAAACAGTACATATCACAATTATATGCAGTTACACTACTAACTATATAGAACATAAAAAAAAGAAATGTATCTTTAATATAGTGTTGAGTTTTTGCTAATGACTAGAAATGGAATGAATGTATGTAAGTGTATGGAAAAATGAATTGTAAATGTATTATGTACTATTAAAAAATCTTCAAAAATAAAAGAAATTAGCAGAGAAAAAAATGTTTGGACCGAGGACTGGCCATATCTTAATCTAATATTCGGAATGCGATCCATCAGTGTGGTTTTATAAAAATATTTATAAAGCACAAACAGTCATTTTAAATTATTGTTTGTGTTCAAAACAAACTTATCATTTATAATATTCATACCAAACTTCATCCTCGATACTCGTTTTCAATAATACAGAGGAGGGACACCCGACTTCAGAGCAGGTCAATTTACCGTTACGCGTCAGCGAGATTCTATTGATGTACAAAACTATAGTCTTCTTGTCTCATCAACAAGGTGACTCATCATCACTGAGCCTTCGATTTTGCTCTTACATATTACAGGAGTGCAGAGAGCGAAAGTTAGCGTAACCCCTGGAGTATTGAGGATGACCAAACCGATGAATCTCATTCCGAATAGTATATATACTACTAGTTTTAGACGTTGCTCTCTTGGTCGATTTTTAAAAAGCATCCGATACAACAAAACAATAAAAGTGTTGTGATTATTTTAGTTTTATCTTTCTTTCAAAATGCGGATGAAAACTGTTTTACAATGCTTTTACTAGTTCCTTACGTAGTACTTGCCCCGAGTTTATAAGTATTAAGACAGGAGTTCGCCAAGGCGATCCTCTTTCATACCATTTATATTTTTTTATATATTAAGTGTAAGTTGTAAATCATGTCAGATATAAAAAAATAAAAAAAAATAAAAAAAAATAAAAAGTATCAAGACAGACGATAAAGTGACATAATGATTAGTCAATACGCAGGTGTTTCAAGTCTATGCGACGAGGAACACTCTTTGATCTGTGCACTATACATGTATTTACGGGTATTCCATTTTTATAAGTGAATATGCGCTTTACCAACAACAGTGATTAATATAAGTTCATAGAATATTGTTTTGCATTTTTTGTTAATAAATAAAGTTTAAGTTCGTAAAGACCTCAGTACACAGATGCTACTTTTGTTAGTATAACTACAACCCGTTAAAAGAAAGTAAAAGATTATATACTGTGGCAGACTAAACGGAACACGATAGTAGTTTTTTCTCGTTTGACGATTTTCAAATGAAATGACTTAGGGTCAGCAGAAACTTTTTTTCTGCATTTTTTAGAATTACGAAGACAGATACTTATTCACTTGTTTCTTCAGAATCATAATTACAAAAGCCTATAAAGATTAGTTACATATTAAATCCATGAGGAAATACAACCAATACAACATACAAGGAAGAAATGAAAATATCTCGACAAAAACAGAGAATACCGATCGTGAAGTGGTGACAAAGATTGAGCTCAATCTTACGATTAAAGGGAAACAACTCTATCAGAAAGACAACAAACCGGAAGTTACAAACACATGGCGGGAATCTTAGTTTCACTTTGACATTTGTAAACACCGGTCTGTAACTGTACATTCTTAGCAGAATGTCGGAGCTTGATGAGTTCGGCGATGGCAGTGATGAGGAAGGAGAGGCGATGACCGCAGCTGAAGTTTTACAGAAACTTGAAGAGGTCAGTTTTCATCACTGATATCAGGTTTTTACACCCCATTTTGACTTTGTGTCCCTGGGACCCCATTGATTGAAAATTGCGGGTGCTAAATAAATATTTTGGCTGGTCATAAATGGTATTTTTCAGTATTCAATGCTTGAAGACATATTCATCATTACATTTATTTGTAGACTAGAATGTTTGAAGTTATCATTTCAGGGGGTCATGGGGACACAGCTGGTGTTCAGATTTTAGGGGTCCTGTGTATGGTGGTATTTGTTGCAGGATATATTCTGCTTCATGAAATTCCCTACTGATATGCTCGGGGACATAGATCTAAGTGTTATAGGCGCCTGGCACGCTTTTTATTTATTAGCTGATCATATGTATCAGCTTTATAGTAAATGTGACTAACTATATAGTTGGAAATATGTGTCAAGTGCAAATGGATGTTTATAATTAACAGGTACACTAATTTTGTACAATATGTGTGCTCATCCTGGTTGGATGTTCTAAAGGGCTTTAGGTTTAACTTACCCTTGATGGTGTAGAAGAGTACATAAATGCCCAGACAGCCGTACCAAGAGCGGTAATAGTGAGGGTATATTTAAATTATAATAGCTAGCTATAGGACCTCTGTGGGGAGAGCCTGTCTAGCGTCGGTAAATGAAAGTGATCGTATAGTAATTTCGGTTTTTCCCAAAACTCGATCCAACAAACTGACCTGCGGCAATCCCCAAGAATGTCCCGCTGTGTCCGTCTATGTACAGTCTGTAACAGTATTTGTTAAGCCATTATGAGTTATCGCTTTCACACGTGGGTAGGTCGTACGCCATCTATGCTGAACACATGTCCTACGTATACGTACACCACTTCCGGTTTGTCTACTTTACATTTGTCTATGTTGAGGCGCAATCCAACCTCGTCACATCTAGCAAGAACTTTCTCCAGTTTATCAACATGCTCTTCCTCGTTGTTAGCCCATATGAGGATATCATCTACAATTGCAGTGCATGGCTGGTTCTCAAACACTTGTGAAATAGTTCTCTGAAATATTTCAGGGGCACTCGCCATTCCAAATGGTAGGCGCTCGAACTTGTACCGACCGTACGGAGTATTAAATGTGGTGAGCCACGTCACATACTCTTCTCGGTTAACTTAATTTGATAAAATCCAGAAGCTGCGTCTTATGTACTGAAAATTTTTGCTGAACCAACAGTAGCCGCAACTTCCTCCACAGTCTTGAGGGGATAATGTTCCTGAGAACTGCCTTGTTGAGATCCCTGGGATCGTGTGAAAGCGATAACGGCACTCCCTAAACCAGAGAACAAAGTAGAGTTACAGAGGTTTATGGGAATGGTCAATTACTTAGGAAAGATCATTCCTAATCTGTCTACAGTCAATCAACCCCTGAGAGTACTTTTGGAAAAGGATGTAGCATGGCAACTAGTGGTCACAACAGCAGGATGCGGTGTTTGATGCCTTAAATTGAAACGCAATTACTACGGCACCTGTTCTTAGCTTCTATGATGTTTGAAAGGAAATAAAGCTATCCGTTGATGCATCGTCATACGGTTTGGTAGCGTGCATTTTACAGGAACAACAACCTGTCGCGTACGCATCGAGAACATTAAACAGGGCCGAAAAGAACTATATGCTCAGATTGAGAAGGAGATGCTAGGAATTGTGTACGGGCTGAAGAAATTCCACGAATACGTGTATGGAAAGACTGTTCAGGTTGAAACTGATCATAATTAAGCCCCTGGAGAGCTTGTTCAAAACGCCATTGTCGAGCGCCCCTCCTAGACTCCAACGTATGATGCTAAAAGTACAGCAATACGACTTGGTTGTATCTTACCGTCCATGTAAAGAGTTGTACATTGCCGATACTCTTAGTCGTTTAGTCGCACCGATTCATGATATGGAGAATGACGTGGATGAGTTTGAAGTACATGTGGTTGGCACTGTACCCATAAGTCTGGAGAAGACCAGACAGTTCACGAGAGAAACGGACCACGACCGAGTATTAGCCAAACTGAAATAGACCATGATGGAAGGATGGCCTCACGACAAGCATAGCCTTGACCCGGCTTTAACACCCTATTGGAATTTTAGGGACAAGATCAGTGTAGTGGACGGACTTTTGTTAAAAGGCAATCGAATCATTACACCGACAATATTAAGACCGGAAATGTTGAAGACATTGCATAGCAGTCACTTAGGCAAGACTAAGTGTATTCAGAGAGCAAGAACTGCATTGTTCTGGCCTGGAATCACAAAGCAGATAGAGGATGTGGTGGCGCAATGCCACATCTGTAATCGTTATCGGAACGCGCAGCCAAAGGAACCGTTGATTCCACACAAGACGCCCGTTAGGCCTTGGCAAAAGATCGCGGCTGATATGATGGTATTGGATGGCCTGAAATACCTTGTAACTGTTGATTACTTTTCGAAATTCATCGAGGTAAACAATGTGTCAGATGGAAAGTCAGCAACTGTAATCAACGTTTTGAAGCAGCAGTTTGCCAGATATGGCGTTCCTGAAGAAATTATCAGTGACAAAAGCCCAGAGTTCGCGAGTTATGAGTTCAAGTCCTTTTTGCGAGCATACCACATCGAACACACTACTTTGTCTCCGAGATACCCGCAAAGCAATGGACTCGCAGAACGTTCTGTTCAAACTGTGAAACGACTATTCAAAAAGGCTCGAGATGACAGGAAGGACCCCTATTTGGCCCTTATGGAACTGAGGAATACCCCGATAACTGGTATGGAACTCTAACCATCACAGCTGCTCTTAGGCAGGGCTACAAGGACAACGCTACCTGTTAAGCGGACTCAGTTAAACCCATTAGGTTTCGAACCTTGTGCCATCAAGTCATCTTTGGAGGAGCAGAATGCACGCCAGAAGGTATATTTTGACAGAGGAACGCATTCCTTACCACCCTTACATGTTGGAGACAATATCCGGTTTATTGCGCCAAATGTAAACCAAGCTTCATTAGCTTCAGGTAAAGTTGTAGGAAAAGCATCCACTCCTAGATCCTACATTGTGGAACATGAAAGAGGAAAAGTCAGGAGGAACAGGAGAGACTTGTTTCATACCAAGGAGAACTTTGCAGACATCACCACTCAGAAATCCGTACCAATCGATGATGTCATAAGTGATGACGTATCACCGTCAAATGATGTCAAACTGTCAAATGAATCAAAGTGCACAGAAAGTCCATCAGTCGTGAATGTGAACAAAAACGTAAAATGTGCTGATAGTGCATCAGTCCAGAATGTGAAATTTAGTCGTGTTAGCGGTCGCGAAATAAAAGTACCCCCACGATTTAAGGACAGCTAATTTCGCATTACAGATTTAGGGTACTATAGAGACAGTGACTGTAATTTTGTGTTTGTTTAATTCAAGTTCTACTAGTTTAATGTTTCTAGTGCGGTATTTAAATTACAACAAGAGACTGTGCTAAAATTTGAATGTATTTTAATTATACTGTGAAAATAAGTAAAACCTTATTTTATTGACTTTAAAAGTAATTCCATTCTGTCAGTTTATTACATCATATACACTTGTTAGGGAGATGTAACAGTATTGGTTAAGCCATTATAAGTTATCGCCCTTGATGTGAAAGTCTCCAATAGAGTTGGTAATAAAGGCATAGATTTATTCTGACAAAATTAGGATTAGGCTTTCTGGCCACGCAAGTCCCCAATTTTGCCCATGCATCCCCTTTTATACCCCAGCCTCCTTGCCCTATGTAACATGTATTGGACACCAATTCTGATTGGCTTAATCTATGACGTATGCGCAGTGAGCTCGGAACCTCTTCCTGTAACTCTCCAAAATTCGGTCATCTCAAAAGTAAACACCCATGTAAACAAATAGACTGCACCAGTGATAGCCACTACATATGCCGATAAAAAAGCCGTACCAAACCTTTAGTTACACTAGGATGGCAATCAATGGATACACATGGAAAACAGTAAAACAAACGCTGAGGCTAGCAACCTGTCTTCCACATAGTATTTTAAGGTCTGTCTTCTATAACAGAATTATCTTGTCTCACAATGCAATATATAAAAATCATCTCATAATCATCAGATGCTACATTATTGCTTGAAAAATATATGGTTGTTACTAAATCTGATTGTTTTCAGGTTTACCACAGAATTTAAACTGACATTTTATAGACGTTGAACACCAAAAATCAAACTATTGTAATTTGTATTGTGTAGGCTTGGCGGAATGAGAAGTTTTCGCCAGATTTACTAGATGCTAAGATGGACCTGGTGGAGTGTATGTTGGAACAGCTTGTAGAAATGGAGGAAAACATCAGACGAGCAAAGCGGACAGATATGCGTGTCAGCATCCACAGAATGGAGGTAAGGGTCTCTGATCGACCTACACTAACGTCACTTCCAAAAAATTGTAACAGCAAGAATCCGGGGTTTATATTTAAGCTGTCTTTATATATATTATATTCTTTTGAAATTAAGATTTTTAGGTCACCAATATGGCCGCCATTTTGAAAAACTATTTCAAACTTGAAGTCAAGTTCTACTGGGCCAATTGAACTGAAACTTTGTAGGAATGATCGACTCATGGTCCTGACAAAGTGTTGTTATTTTTCGGGTCGATCAGAAATCCAATATGGCCGCCACGGCCGCCATTTTGAAAAACTATTTCAAACTTAAAGTCAAGTTCTACTGGGCCGATTGAACTGAAACTCTGTAAGAATGATCGACTCATGGTACTGACAAAGTGTTGTTATTTTTCGGGTCGATCAGAAATCAAATATGGCCGCCACTGCCGCCATTTTGAAAAACTATTTCAAACTTAAAGTCCAGTTCTACTGGGCCGATTGAACTGAAACTTTGTAGGAATGATCGACTCATGGTCCTGACAAAGTGTTGTTATTTTTCAGGTCGATCAGAAATTAAATATGGCCGCCACTGCCGCCATTTTGAAAAAAGTATTTCAAACTTAAAAACAAGTTCTAATAGGCCATTTAACTGAAACTCGGTCTAGGAATGATCAGCTCATGGTCCTGACAAACTTAAGTTAACGTTTTACTTAACTTTTTTGTACTCAAATTGGTACATATTTCAACAACAAAAATAAATACTGTAGGACTCAGGTGACCGTTTAGGCCCATGGGCCTCTTGTTTTATTTATTTTTTGAAAGTGCAAAATTATGATGTCCACTAAAAAGTGTAATGTATCCATGTAAATGAATACACAAATGTTTACAATAACTATACATGTATAACATTACTGACTTTGTTTCAGATTGATAGAATTCGTTACATAATCAGCAGCTACCTTAGATGTCGACTACAAAAGGTCAGTATACCACTCAGTCAGGGATTTGCTGGTATTGAAAACGACCCTGGGACGAGGTTGGGGGGAAAAATCATTGTCAAAAAAACTGTTTTGGAAAATGGAGGGTCATTATAACAACACTGACTGTATAAAATTAGACAGTTTAATTTAAGCCTAGGCTATATTTATAACAACATGTCATGATCAACTGTCCTTCCTACATATGCTGCAATTCACCCACAAAATTAAGAATGGTATTAAGCTATGTAACACCATGCTTTCTTTAGTGTTTTTAGCTCACCTGGCACGAAGTGCCAAGTGAGCTTATGCCGTGGTGCGGCGTCCGGCGTCCGGCCGGCCGGCCGGCGTCTGGCGTCAATATTTTACTTTAAACGACTTCTTCTTAATAACCGAAAGGTCTAGGGTGATGATATTTGGCCAGAAGCAAACTGGGTTGAAGGGCTACCAAGTTTGTTCAAATAAATGACCTTCATCTATTTTCAAGGTCACAGGGGTCAAACACTTTAAACAACTTCTTCTCAATAACCAAACTGTCCAGGGAGATGATATTTGGTCAGTAGCATGCTGAGATGAAGGGCTACAAAGTTTGTTCAAATGAATGATCTTCACCCATATTCAAGGTCACAGGGGTCAAATATGTTAAAAACTTTAAACAACTTCTTCGGAATAACCAAAATGCCCAGGGTGATGATATTTGGCCAGTAGCTAGCTGAGATGAAGGGCTACAAAGTTTGTTCAAATGAATGACCTTCACCCATATTCAAGGTCACAGGGGTCAAATATGTTAAAAACTTTAAACAACTTCTTCTGAATAACCAAAATGCCCAGGGTGATGATATTTGGCCAGTAGCATGCTGAGATGAAGGGCTACAAAGTTTGTTCAAATGAATGACCTTCACCCATATTCAAGGTCACAGGGGTCAAATATGTTAAAAACTTTAAACAACTTCTTCTCAATAACCAAAATGCCCAGGGTAATGATATTTGGCCAGTAGCATGCTGAGATAAAGGGCTACAAAGTTTGTTCAAATAAATGACCTTCACCCATATTCAAGGTCACAGGGGTCAAATATGTTAAAAACTTTAAACAACTTCTTCTGAATAACCAAAATGCCCTGGGTGATGATATTTAGTCAGTAGCATACTAGGATCAAGGGCTACCAAGTTTGTTTAAATGTATGACCTTGAATCATATTCAAGGTCACAAGGAGCAAATATGTTTAAAATATTTCAACAACTTGTTCTGAATAACCAAAAGGCTCAGGATGTTGATATTTAGTTAGTAGCATATGCTGGGATCAAGGACTACTATGTTTGTTAAAGTGAATGACTTTGACTTATATTCAAGGTCACAGGGGTCAAATTTGTTTAAAATCTTTAAACAACCTCTTATGAATAACCATGGGTCCCAGGATGTTTATACTTTGCAAGTTGCATCCTGAGATGAAAGGCTATACAATGTGTTCAACATAATGACTTTGTTCGACTTTCAATCACAGGGGTGAAATGTTTTAAAAAAAATTAACAGGGTCTTTTGAACGAATTTTAATCATAAATACTGATATTTTGCCTGTAGCTTTATTTTAGATCACTTTTAAGGTTACAAGTGTGAGTTTTATACCAGGTGAGCGATGCAGGCCCATTGGGCCTCTTGTTATAATGATTAGATTGTAAAACAGCATTCACTCTAGGATATCTTTATTGAAAGCTTTTGTAGTAGTATAAGCAGCAACACCATATCATTTTCGCTGCTTTAAATTACTCTTGAAAATATTTGATATTTACATGTTTTGTCCTATTTTTGTGGTGTGTCATTGTTTTGTCAAGTTCTCATGACATGATTGATTTTTCTGGAAAATGAACATTATTTCTGATTTGCATATTTTGTTATCAATTCATAGTAAATTCTAACTTTATTTAAAAGAAAGCTTTAAAAAGAAATGGTTAACAGCTTGAAACCTAATGCAGTCATTTTTGGGACATAGATATTTTAATACTGGACTCGTGGTTCCCAGGAGGCTCGGCAACTTATAAAGAACCTTGATCTCTTAGTAATTGGACTCATCAAAGTTTTAAAAAGGTGTTCAGGACTTGCCTGAAAAAAATATACATAAATCACTCTAATGTGGCATACGATTTGATTTTTGAGAACCTTGTGTGTTTGTGTTTCAGGTTGAGCGATATACTGTACATATATTAGACCAAGAAAGACAGAGAAGGGAAGAGGATGCGTGTAGAATGTCGCCTGAAGAATTCACATTTGCTAAAGAGTAAGTTAATTGGTGCCCATAGCTAACTCTGGGGATAATGTACCACTGCCATTATTATAACTTGTATGATGGTGTAGTACTGGACTAGGTAATGTCAGACTTATACCATGATGATACATGATGTATCAGCATAATCACTTAATGTCTACATGTCAAAGTTACTGCAGATGTGCTAATTCTTTTATTATGCAAGAAAGTATATGATTGGCCAATCAAAATAATAAGCAAAAGTATAACCACAATTTACCTCCATAAATTTCTCATTTGGGTATGAAACCCTGATGGCAATGACGCCAATGACCCTGATACATCATGAAATCTATTTTGAATGATGTCATGAAAAATAGCATGATCCATAAATGCCGTTGTAATTCTGCCTCACTTTAAATTGTATAACATACAGGTAATTCATCCATGGCTGTGCCCTTGATTTCTGAAAAACATAAAAAGAAACAATCTTAAATTAATCATTGTGTTTTAACAGTTTTAGCTTCACAGGTATATGGATTATTATGGGGGAAATGCTACTGTGTTTTAAGATCTGCAGTGGTATATTGCCGTTATACTGTCACAAATAATCGTTATACTGACTAACCGCAGGATCTTTAGAACTCCACAGTAAAACTCAGCTCTGTGTCGGTGAATTCAACAGTAAAACTTAATTTACAACAGTATAATTATTATAGAAAACAGAAAACCACATATCAACAGTATAATTATGATAGAAAACAGAAAACCACATATCAACAGTATAATTATTATAGAAAACAGAAAACCACGAATCAACAGTATAATTATTATAGAAAACAGAAAACCATGTATCAATAGTATAATTATTATAGAAAACAGAAAACCATGTATCACGAAACACATTAGGGTTATCCCCTTATTCTAGAATTGTGCTTAAGGTCATATAGGAGTGTATTGCTAAACGGAAGTAGGAAGTACATCCCTAGTTGAGAATCCAATGTAGGGGGACAGTATCACAATTTCCGCATATTCTAATGTTTAATATTAAACTGATGAATATTGTATGCTTATTATTGACAGAACAGTGTGTTCTTTCAATATTAAAGTATTGCAAAGCAATCCAGGCATTAATGCAGTTGTTTTTTTATCAATGAGTCACATGTGTCCATTTTTCTGTACTTCAGGAAACCGGCTACCTAGTTCACTCCTGTGAAGTTTTCCAAGAACAATAACTCATTGCATGTAGTTACTATGTGTATATGGTTTTATTATAAAATGTCAATTTTTAATCATTTATAGATGATTAATTTTACACAATTTCAGCATTTATGAAATTAATATACATTAATGCAATACTAATCTATGTTAGTATCATTTTTATTGACATTATTTTGCAAAAAAATGTGTGTTTCAAGTCGTTTTTCAAAATTCAATCCTTTTTACATAAATTTCCATTTAAAATCCTTAAAGTTCTGACAACCTATATTTTTTTTGTGGCAGAAAATTTTATTTACTTCAAAGCAATATAACAACAAAATTTGAATAAATTCTACTGAGAAATGGCGACACAATCCTATTACCTTAAGAGTGTATTGTAATTAAAGGAACAGATGACATGTAGCACTAAACAAAAAGGTTTTTGTAATTTATGTATTTTATTCATTTGGTTCAGTTATGCTGAAACACTGGACAGTCACTTCCGGTCACTGGCCCTCAGACATATGCCCCCTAACCTCCAAACACTGGACACCAAACTGACAGGTGAGCACAAGTTGTGAGAAAAATACTGGTGTTTAGTTTGACCTTCTAGCCATATTCAAACACTGGTAGTGGTAGGTCTGCATGATAATCAGGGTCCGTATTCATGAAACTGTTCTCATGCTCAAGCATGGATTTTGTGCTCAAGCCTAATATCTTGTTCCGGGTATAAATGAATAAGAAAAACTTATTCTGTCAATGATTTAGGAAAACATTGAAGAGACTTAAAGCATAAAACTGTTTTTAATGTTTTCAATGTTTCTAAAGTTTCAATGTCAAAGTGTTGGAGGCACGGTAGCCTAGTGGTAGGATGCCAGGCTCATGACCGAAGGGTTGCGGGTTCGAGTCACAGGTAGGAGGCACGGCACGGCACGGCACTGTGTTGTATCTTTGAGCATGATACTTTACTTCGCTTGTTCCAGTCTACTTCAGCTATAAATGATGAGTATGTGGTTGAAATAACATTCAACGGTGCCCTGCTACACGCCAGCATTTTTGACTGAACTTTTGCGATCAGTCGAAATTAAGTTCTCAGATTATAAATCTGAATTGATATGCAGATTCTGGTGATTTTTTGTTGATTATTTTTAGCAATTAATTAAAAATGATCGACTTGAAACGTAAATCGATAGACGAATGGTCTAAATATAGTAACAGAGATCACATGATCATGATTCGTTCAATATGGCGGCGACAGAAGTGTGGAGGTAAATAGACGATCAGTATAACGTAAATTTCATGAGAGTTTCGCAATTTAAAGAGTTTTAAACATGCAATTTATATTACATTTATCTTTCTCGTTTTGTGTCATGTGATGTTATTGACCAATAAAGTAGTTTACGTTGTTGTCATGGTAGTTGTTTGCGTTCTTTCAAAACCGAAAAATGTCGGAAACTGAAAGTTCGGACGGCGATAACTTCGAAGGATTTGATCCCCAAGAAGTCCAAGACGCTGAACACAACTTTGCGGCTTTACTTCGACATCAAGGTATTGGTGATGATTTGGTGAGTGATGTAAGTGAAGTTGATAGTGACAACGAAGATCCTGGCCCTGGGGGAGCAGCAGGCATTGATGTCAATGATGACGAACAACACCATCATGACCAGAACGGATGGCACGCTGGGTTTGATTATTTTGAGCGAGGCCTACCGCACCTATTTCTTCCGAGAGGGAACACAGGGCCAACCAGAGTTATGACACCTGATAAGGAGCCATTAGACTTCATGTCCTTGTTTATGGATGGTGAGCTATTGGATATGTTGATAGAGGAGACTGGACGGTATGCACGCCAGCAAATAGACACACATCCAGAACAGAACAGACTGCCATGGAAGGATTTGACCATAGAAGAAATAAAGGCATTTCTTGGACTGTGTATGGCCATGGGAGTCACAAGAAAACCTTCGACAAAACTGTATTGGTCAACTGACTTGTACTCGGAGACACCTCTCTTTGCAAGGACAATGACTAGGGACCGCTTCACTGCCATACTCAGGTACATACACTTTGCTGACAACAGTGTAGAACCTGGACAACACAGTCCAACATATGATCCCTTGTACAAGATAAGGAAGCTTGTGAACCATCTTAACAGTTTGTTTGTACAGGAGTATGTCCCACGCAGGCGTGTAACAGTGGACGAGTGCATGATTCCCTTCAAGAGAAAAGTTAAATTCAAACAGTACATGAGACTAAAACCCCAAAAATAGGGTGTGAAAGTGTGGGTGTTGGCTGAATCTGAGTGCAGCTATGTTCACTACATTGACATCTACCCAGGTATTTATCATGTTATAAAATGAAATTGGCTATTAGTACCAAAAGTAACTTCTATTATCATTAAATTGTTAATCTAATACCTAATTTGCTTTAGGATATATGTAAATAAGCCACAGCAATTTATGTTGGTATTGAAATTAAGATGGTCATATTAATTACTAGATATGTAAAGCCAGTGATTCGATGGCGGTGCTAGAGTGGCCTTAGTAAGGCTCACTCTTGTCGCTTAGTCCTCATTTTCACATAATGACATTTGCCAAATGTCTACAAAGTAAATATTTTTTTAATTTTTATATTATCCAATTAAGAGCATTACATTACATTGATTGTAGGGAGATACCACCAGGCTGAAGGTGCTCTGGCTAGCAGAGTTGTAAACAAATGCTTACAGGGGGCTGGAGTTCAGGGCCAGGGTTACCATGTTTACATGGACAACTTTTATACCTCACCTGATCTACTCACTAGTCTGTATGATGATAAAACCTATGCATGTGGGACAGTGCGGTCCAACCAAAGAGGCCTTCCCAAGGACATAATGCAGAAACGCCCTGAGGGTGTAGTACAGAGAGGGGACATGGCCTTCAGGCAAAAGGGGCCACTTGTAGCAGTCGTTTGGAAAGACAAAAAATGTGTCACTGCCCTGTCTACAATTCATGACAACAGTTTTGGAGAAGTGCAACGCCTTGTTAAAGGGGAGGATGGTACCTTTGCACGACAGAATGTATCCTGTCCGAAACTTCTAAGTGATTACACTTCGTACATGGGTGGGGTTGATAAAGCAGATCAGTTCATACAGTACTACTCCTTCAACCACAAGACACGGAAATGGACTGTAAAAGTGTTCTTTCGTCTTCTGGAGGTTATGAAACTGAATGCCTATCAACTATTTCTTCAGAGTCCTCATCATCAGCCAGGGCAGGGAAAGCAGCAGCTGTCTTTCCTGCAGTTTACGCAAAGCATCATCAGAGGACTAGTAGATGGTTTCACCTCTACTGCAAGGAAAGGTAGACCATCTCTTCTACCACTGGATGACCGTCTAACACAGCGTCACCTCCCTGGCACACTTGAGTCGCGGTCTTGGTGCCATGTATGCTACATGAGATGCAAGAGTGGATTGCAGGACAAAACCAGCCAAACAAAATTTGGCTGCACTGAATGCCGGAAGCATCTGTGCCTTCCTACATGTTTCACTATGTACCATTCTCAGGCAAAGTATTTTTAGATAGCTGCTGTACTGCAAGGTGCAGAACTCTTTGGCAAGTACTAAGCTGTGTGGAGATTGCTCCACCACTTAGCTACAATGAAAAATTGTCAATTTCTGTTCACTGTATTGGGGAAAAAATGAAACTGATCATTGCTTTATTTTTAAAAAAATGCTTGAAAATAATTGCATGCTGAACTTTGAAAAAAAATGTAAAAAAAAATCCAAAAAAAATATGCATGCTGTACTTGAAAGAAAAAAATCAAAAAAAAATCAAAAAAATGCATGATGAACTTGAAAAAAAATACCAAAAAATACCAAAAAAAATGCATGCTGTAGGCCTACTTGAAAAAAAAATACAAAAAAAAATACAAAAAAATGGATGCTGAATTAAGAAAAAAAGGCTGGTCCTTTTAAAATATGCTTGCATGTGACTACCCTCCCATGGTGCAAGCGTTTAACACTAAAGTCACCTTGTTGTTTATTGTCTTATTTTTATTTTATTTGTTGGATTTGATTTTCATTCATTTTCTTTGGTTTTAATCATTGCTGTACATGTAGTATTGTAGACTAGTGTCGTGCTCCCTGAAAAATGTCCTTGGAGTTATCCCTCTTGTCGTACATGACGCAATGGGTCAACTTAAAAAAAATGGCGGCATGTAATCACGATCGGGATTTATTATCAAGTATACTGATAATATTCGACTGTTGATGCTGTAGTAAGGTCTCCTAGTTCAAGTTGAACATTTACGTTATATTCTAATTGAAGATCAGTAAAATGTGTATTGCTGAGGCGAACATACAGCTTCGGTGGTGTTACAAAACGAAAGTACACAATTTTGACTTCTATTTTCCGCAAGCGCAACACGTAAACAGGCAAGCTATCAACGCACAATTCCTTTTATTCTTGCTATTATTATGTTCTTTACATAAAAATGGAAGCTTTAAGTATTCCTTTCATAGATTTATGCCAGAGAACTGATTCCACGCCGTATTTTGTACAGAAATCGTGTTTAACAGTACGTAGTCAAAATGAGACGTCAATTGTCCTGAATTAATTCAGGCCAGGAAAAGACACGTGCAAATAATCTCAGGGCCAGAATACCCATCATGCAATTCAATTCAGTAACGAAAGTGTTAAAATAACAAGCTGTAAGTGCTGTAACAATGTAATAGCTAGAAGCCTGGGATGTTTGAGGCTGACTTGGGGTTAGCCTGCTGTAGAGGCCTGGGATGTTTGAGGCTGACTTGGGCTTAGCCGGCTGTAGAAGCCTGGGATGTTTGAGGCTGTCTTGGGGTTAGCCTGCTGTAGAAGCCTGGGATGTTTGAGGATGACTTGGGCTTAGCCTGCTGTAGAAGCCGGGGATGTTTGAGGCTGACTTGGGCTTAGCCGGCTGTAGAAGCCTGGGATGTTTGAGGCTGCCTTGGGCTTAGCCTGCTGTAGAAGCCTGGAATGTTTGAGGCTGACTTGGGCTTAGCCTGCTGTAGAAACCTGAGATGTTTGAGGCTGACTTGGGCTTAGCCTACTGTAGAAGCCTGGGATGTTTGAGGCTGAGTTGGGCTTAGCCTGCTGTAGAAGCCTGGTATGGTTGAGGCTGACTTGGGCTTAGCCTGCTGTAGAAGCCGGGGATGTTTGAGGCTGACTTGGGCTTAGCCGGCTGTAGAAGCCTGGGATGTTTGAGGCTGGCTTGGGCTTAGCCTGCTGTAGAAGCCTGGAATGTTTGAGGCTGACTTGGGCTTAGCCTGCTGTAGAAGCCTAGGATGTTTGAGGCTGACTTGGGCTTAGCCGGCTGTAGAAGCCTGGGATGTTTGAGGCTGTCTTGGGGTTAGCCTGCTGTAGAAGCCTGGGATGTTTGACGCTGACTTGGGCTTAGCCTGCTGTAGAAGCCGGGGATGTTTGAGGCTGACTTGGGCTTAGCCTGCTGGAGAAGCCTGAGATGTTTGAGGCTGACTTGGGCTTAGCCTACTGTAGAAGCCTGGGATGTTTGAGGCTGAGTTGGGCTTAGCCTGCTGTAGAAGCCTGGTATGTTTGGGGCTGACTTGGGCTTAGCCTGCTGTAGAAGACTGGTATGTTTGAGTCTGACTTGGGCTTAGCCTGCTGTAGAAGCCGGGGATGTTTGAGGCTGACTTGGGCTTAGCCGGCTGTAGAAGCCTGGGATGTTTGAGGCTGCCTTGGGCTTAGCCTGCTGTAGAAGCCTGGAATGTTTGAGGCTGACTTGGGCTTAGCCTGCTGTAGAAGCCTAGGATGTTTGAGGCTGACTTGGGCTTAGCCTACTGTAGAAGCCTGGGATGTTTGAGGCTGAGTTGGGCTTAGCCTGCTGTAGAAGCCTGGTATGTTTGAGGCTGACTTGGGCTTAGCCTGCTGTAGAAGCCTGAGATGTTTGAGGCTGACTTGGGCTTAGCCTGCTGGTTGGTGGTACGTACAATATACTGACTCTTTTTGTATAAACAAGTTAACTATGGTACGGTTGGTTAGATATTAGTTTGACTTTTTCCAGGGACTTTACAAAGTGTTGTTATTTGAAGTCTTCATTAATTGCTGGCATTATACATTGGAGCTCTGATCATCATTCAGTCAGTCTTGGCATTGAGTCTGTCCACATATAAAAATCAAGGCAGAACTTTTGAATGGCATCCCAAATATTCCAGTTTTATCCTATTTTTCATTTATCATATCAGTATTATAGCCTGCTTGAGACCCAAATTTTAAAAAGGCCAGTGCTAATACCAATTAAGAAGGAAGTTCCAAGTGATTCCAACTAAATTAACCTATATAAAGGGGAATAACTCTTTCGATCTTGCTTATTTACCTGAATAAGGCCATCAATCTGTCATGATATACAATTTGATGCCTGTAAAGAAATACTCAAGAAACTGATCTAGCAAAGTATAATCTAATCGCTTTGTGTAGATATGCATACATGTAATAACAAGACAAGCCCTGTATTAGGGATCAGAGAAAGAAGACTCGCAGGTATAGCCTGATCAGTTGGAACATCAACCTTGTATTAAATATATCTATGTACATTGTATATACTGTATGGGTAAAGCCAGAAGTAAGTAACAACTATGTTTGTACAATTAAGGCCCTGTTAGCAACACAAGATATTTATGCCCTGGGCACCAGGAGTCAAACTCACTATTAGGCTATTAAGCACACCAAGGTTCCAAACTCTGTACTTTAAAACCAACACAGTAGTACACTTTTCAGTATATATGCAAGGTTGTTGTTATTTTTTCAGGGTATTGCCCCATTTTTTATAAAGGGTATGTTCAGGTTCTACTTCTCCTAAAGTGCAGCAAATATTTCCATGATTCTTTGCATGCTATCAGTATGCAATGAAGTTGTTAAATATGTAAATTCGTTTTCATTGTATATAGTATTATTAAGTCTATTACAAGCAAATTTTAGATATGAGGAGGTGCAGGGGTATTAGTTAGCCTGCGGTTTACAGGTGTAGTTGATAGTGTCACTATAAACAGACAGTCTGTGTTTACAGAAGGACCGTCAAGAGATTAAGTTAAATGCCCTGAGTCAATACACCTGTAGGACATTGACATCCACGTGTATCTCCTTGTCTGATGGTCTCCACTTATCAATGAAATGATCCAGCTCTAGTCCGGTTACCTGGATGTCCAGACATGCTACCCTTTGACCTGGTGAAACATAACCTTTGAACCTGTGAGACCTGACCTTATAAACTCCCTAGATAACTGAATCTGTCTGTTTCCTGGTGAAGTATAAATGTTGAGCTCAGCAACTTTCACACAGGTATAGCTAAGGTTCACACAATCAGGCATGGTCATTTGTAATAAATGTAAACTAATGTAAAACATATTGGTCTACTACTGGATTAAATCTTGTATAATTAGGAAAACTTGTGTATCAGAACTGCATGGGCTTAAAAAGTCAATCACAGATGACCAGCTAGCTTAGGTAGCTAGATGTTGGTGCCAGTATCGCAGTCTTGCTGTTTTCGTTCCTGTTTTCATATTTTTGTACCTGTTACACCAGTAATCCAGGCCATCTTTATTACAATAAAAACAATATAAATGTGAGTTGAACCTGAAGGTAATGAAAAATTGTGAATTCCCAAGGAAAATACTGCTCCAGATCTGGTGGTAATTGCTTTAGCAAGGCATCACCAGATATTTGTTGAAATTCACCTCACACCCTGAAGAGTTCAGAAAAAGTTTCTCATTGTCAGCATTGAGATAAAGTCTTAAATTATGATCACTGTACATGTGCACGTGGTGACTGCTGATTTTATTCCTCTGCTGTTACGGGACAAGTCTGTTCTCATGACACCCACTCACGATGGATCATGGTGATCTGTAATTTTCACTGATTGAATAGTAGAGACATGGTCTCTGTGCATGGAGTTGTTTTCCATTGTACAAAACATACCTCAATGTCTATATGGTAACACATGTTTCAGGGGTGAAATACATGGCTTACACAACATGAGTCAGACTTGATTTACAAGATTGATTTTGTGGCAGCGTTCAAGGTCAAGTCACTAGTGTAATACTGTGCAGTAGTCAAGGTCATTGCTCTCTTTCACCATGTGACAATGCATGCTACATTGTGATGGAGGAATTAATATATACAGATATAGAAAATTATGTTTAAGATGTTTTTCTGATAAACAGATCCATGAATATGTATTGACCTGAGAATAGCTACCTTTGTCCAGTGTTATTGATGTGGAGTAGGATTCCGGCTGCTCTCTCTAGATGTAAAAAATAAGTAACAATGACTCATAGATTTCACCAAACACAAGACAGCTAGTGCAAAGCATTAAGGAAATGTTTTTGTTAAGACTATGAAGTTTTGAACATTACTTTGTGAAACTTAATAAATATGATAAAGGTACAGGTCTTAAAGGTCAAAGTTTACTTATTGCAATGTTTTTTCTGGCCATTACTTTTGAACTTTACGATGAAATTTTAAAGATCTGAGTATTACATGAGTGTGACATGTGTGTCATACATCACTTAACTCTGGAGGTCAGAAGCTTAACTCATTCACCCTTGAAGACACATTTGAACTCTTCCAATTCAAAGGTTTGATCAGTTCAATATGAAATTTCAGCGGTAAATGAGTTAAATAGGGTGGAGGTTTGTGCTAAATTGTAATCATTGATACAGGTACACGTATAATATACGTCGTATATATTTGTAATCCATCTAGCTTTTTGCACCCATCCATTGCCTCCAGGTCATTTGATTGCTATCTCTTCTAGCTTTTTCAATACCAAGAAAAACAAATTAAGCAACCTACCTTGATAAATAAATTGAAAGATTTTGTATACTGAAAATGGACTCAAGCTTTACATGAATTCATTCTGGAGTATCTACCTGTGCTACCCAGTGTTGTAGCTTCAAAAGTTCTTCAACATCGTAGCTAAATCATTCAAACATCATTATGAAAATTTGTTTGATGTAAATCTCCATGTAAACATTGTCCACATTGTCAGTTACCGCTAGCTTTGCTCGAAAGCGTGGTTTAATTACTTTTGTCATGGGAGGAGAGAAAAATGAAGTTATTGGACAGTTAATAAATTATTTGTTGGAAAAGAAATATCAGATATTATTCAGTGAATCTTTGTTTCCTTTATACAGCTACACGACCAAACATGGACAAGTATGTGTTCCTACAGGTTAACGACGACACTGAAGGTGTACTGGTGGAGGAAGAAACCTTAGAAACGGGGTAAGGTCTTGCTACCATGCATACTAACGTAGCTTTACTCCCATCCCAAGGTTCTATTACACACCAAAAACAATCGGTGTGTAGCGGATCTGGACTGGGTCGATCACAGGTGACCAGGTAGCTCAATAAGTTACAGTGTCTGTCAAGTTCTGAGGGTCCCACGTCCAAACCCTCTCTGGCTATGCAAATCCAATCCTGTTACAAGTGTTAGCCTAGGTAATCCTTTATTAAAGATTTTTACATCAAGATTTAGATGACAAGATTTTTCCAAATTTTCAGATAAAACTTCCAAGTGGTGTTGTACATATGTGATGTATGGTATACTGGACATTAATTAACAGGATAAATCGGACAGGTGATCTACAGACACTCAGGAAAAGGGAGGTAACTGATATACAGTCTGTATGCTACTGAGCAGCCTTCTATACGATCACAGGAGACTACACAAGCAATATTTGTCCAACCGTCACACACTAGGTTTCGGCAGACTATCTTAAATATCTTTGGACTGGATTGCATCATATTTTGCAAAAAGGTGTATTTTGAAATGATACAGGTTGGTTTTGAAATATTCCTGACCTATGCAACCTATTGACTCAATTCAAGTTCAAGTTCAAATGTTAACAGAGAAGCCTTAGTCAACAACAGCTAAACAGTATCCATGCTATCTTCCTAAAACTTTTATCAGAGAAGTATCCGTGCTATCTTCATAAAACTTTTATCAGAGAAGTATCCATGCTAATTTCCTAAAACTTTTATCAGAGAAGTATCCATGCTATCTTCCTAATACTTTTATTAGAGAAGTATCCATGCTATCTTCATGAAACTTTTATCAGAGAAGTATCCATGCTATCTTCCTAAATCTTTTATCAGAGAAGTATCCATGCTAATTTCGTAAAACTTTTATCAGAGAAGTATCCATTCTATCTTCCTAAAACTTTTATCAGAGAAGTCTCCATGCTAATTTCGTAAAACTTTTATTAGAGAAGTATCCATGCTATCTTCATAAAACCTTCAACAGAGAAGTATCCATGCTATCTTCATAAAACTTTTATCGGAGAAGTATCCATGCTATCTTCATAAAACCTTCAACAGAGAAGTATCCATGCTATCTTCGTAAAACTTTTATCAGAGAAGTATCCATGGTAATTTCGTAAAACTTTTATTAGAGAAGTATCCATGCTATCTTCCTACAACTTTTATTAGAGAAGTATCCATGCTATCTTCATGAAACTTTTATCAGAGAAGTCTCCATGCTAATTTCGTAAAACTTTTATTAGAGAAGTATCCATGCTGTCTTCATAAAACTTTTAACAGAGAAGTATCCATGCTATCTTACTAAAACTTTTATCAGAGAAGTATCCATGGTAATTTCGTAAAACTTTTATTAGAGAAGTATCCGTGCTATCTTCATAAAACTTTTAACAGAGAATTATCCATGCTATCTTCATAAAACCTTCAACAGAGAAGTATCCATGCTATCTTACTAAAACTTTTATCAGAGAAGTATCCATTCTATCTTCCTAAAACTTTTATCAGAGAAGTATCCATTCTATCTTCCTAAAACTTTTATCAGAGAAGTCTCCATGCTAATTTCGTAAAACTTTTATTAGAGAAGTATCCATGCTATCTTCGTAAAACTTTTATCAGAGAAGTATCCATTCTATCTTCCTAAAACTTTTATCAGAGAAGTCTCCATGCTAATTTCGTAAAACTTTTATCAGAGAAGTATCCATGCTAATTTCCTAAAACTTTTATCAGAGACGTATCCATGCTATCTTCATAAAACTATCCATGCTATCTTCATGAAACTTTTATCAGAGAAGTCTCCATGCTAATTTCGTAAAACTTTTATTAGAGAAGTATCCATGCTGTCTTCATAAAACTTTTAACAGAGAAGTATCCATGCTAATTTCGTAAAACTTTTATTAGAGAAGTATCCGTGCTATCTTCATAAAACTTTTAACAGAGAATTATCCATGCTATCTTCATAAAACCTTCAACAGAGAAGTATCCATGCTATCTTCCCAAAACTTTTATCAGAGAAGTATCCATGGTAATTTCGTAAAACTTTTATTAGAGAAGTATCCGTGCTATCTTCATAAAACTTTTAACATATAAGTATCCATGCTATCTTCCTAAATCTTTTATCAGAGAAGTATCCATGGTAATTTCGTAAAACTTTTATTAGAGAAGTATCCGTGCTATCTTCATAAAACTTTTAACAGAGAAGTATCCATGCTATCTTCCTAAAACTTTTATTAGAGAAGTATCCATGCTATCTTCATAAAACTTTTAACAGAGAAGTATCCATGCTAATTTCCTAAAACTTTTATCAGAGAAGTATCCATGCTATCTTCATAAAACTTTTAACAGAGAAGTATCCATGCTATCTTCCTAAAACTTTTATTAGAGACGTATCCATGCTATCTTCATAAAACTTTTATCAGAGAAGTATCCATGCTATCTTCATAAAACTTTTATCAGAGAAGTATCCATGCTATCTTCATAAAACTTTTAACAGAGAAATATCCATGCTATCTTCATAAAACTTTTACACGTATTACTCTTATTCTTTAGTTGTGTGAACTATTAAATAATTCAACAGCTTTTGACTTTACTTTTTATACCCCCCGCAACAAAGATAGGGGGATATACTGGTATCACCCTGTACTATTAATCTGTCTGTTTGTCGTCCGCAGTAACTTGTCCGGTAAACTCTATCTTAACTAACAAACAGATTTTATTGAAACTTCACTTGAATGATCAGTATATTATTTAGTTGTGCACCAGCATTTAAATTTCAGATTTCAACCCTTTTTTTTAAGGGCGTTATAGTCCTTTATGCGAAATAACTTGTCCGTAAACCCCAAGGTCAAGGTCACTTAGGGATGTATAAATTACCATCATCTGCGGGGGGTATTAGTTATCCTCAGGATGACAGTTGTAGTTTATTACAGACAAAATGATTTTTAGCTCACCTGCCCGAAAAATTCATCTATTATGATGGTACATTATTTCTTAATTGAATTATGTGTGTATTTTGTAATTTTTATCAGCTGAAAGAACTGACTGTACCAGGACACGCAAACAATAGATACCTTATAGATCATTATTGTAATGGACTTGTTTATAAACTAATCGAACAGAGATCATCCTCATAAATAATATGCTGCACCACATTGAAGAGCCACGCATATGTGGGGATTCATAAAGGACATCACAGACAGAAGTGGCAACTAACTTTTAAAGAACTGTAAAACAGATCATGTTTATAAACAAAAGAAGTTCATTATACAGGATCCTAGTTATAGCGCTGGTATAAGGT